TCTGAGGGTGTGCGTTAATTACGTTACATATATATATATATATATATATATATATATATATATATATATATATATATATATATATATATATATATATATATATATATATATATAATACTTGTGAGAACATTGTGTTTTCTTGCGATTGCCAAGTCAATCTATATATTTAAAACATATAAGATGTCACGCTCTCAAAGCGCGCGACATGTTATACTCCCGTTCGCTCGGGACCTTAATGGCGGGAAAATTTGTAAGTTAGAAAATTTTTTTGCTATATTGCAAATTTTGCTATATTTTCACTTTGAGACAATATTTATGGATAAAACTTACAGGATTTCTTATTGAATGTACAAACTATCGAATAAAATTATTTTTGGTTGCTAGAAATTTTAATAAAATACATAAATTACACTGTATAGCATAGTAGTAGTATATACTTCAATTTTAGTGACAAAATTACTACTAATTTGAATTCTATACTTTTGTTTTTGGAGAAATTTATATGAAAATGTTTGGAAATATGTATATTTTTATGATTTATGTGTTTCTATTCGTTACTCATACCAAAATATTAAAATATAAAAAAATTAAGAAAAAAAAATAATAATATTTTATCTGTATGACATTTCGAACAATATTTCAAAAATAGTTTTGTGTGAATTTGAAATAAGAGTAAGAAAACTATTTTTACTTACATTTTACACTAAAAATAAATGAGAATTTGAAAAATAACGCATTTATGACCCAACCGCCAAAATGGGCCTTCCGGATTTTGAAGTACTTTTGGCAATTTACTTTTCACTTTTTATACCACAAATTATATATCTACGTGTTTACTATATTACAAGGAATATAAAAAAAGTATAATACTTTCGTTTTGAGTCTAGACACAAATATAAAATTCTATAAAAAAGACGGAGCACCTTCATCAAAGCGACACGTGGAACGCCGAAAGTTCAGAGTGATTTCTTTTTTTTTCTAAGAAATATTGCCAGGTTATGGTTTAAAATAAAAGAGCATATCTTTGTCTTTGATACTATTATATATTGCATAGTGTCTTTGGTTTTGTTTAAAACGAAAAAATAGTTTAAAAAAAGTTTTCATAGGGCAGTAATTCTGATCTAATTAGTGCTCTTTTGGATCGGACGTAAGGTAGGTATTGTATGATCTAAAGTGCGCATCTCTTGAAACAACAGGTCAGTTTTTTTAATTATTTTGTGTTCTTACCAGGAAGATGTTGCTGTACTTCTCTTTGTTCCAATTCTCTCTGTCTCTTACAGCATACCTAGGAAGATACGGGGTAGTAAATTAATGTATATGCCACTATGAGATTCCAATAGCAAAATACCTATATATATATATATATATATATATATATATATATATATATATATATATATATATATATATATATATATATATATATATATATATATATATATATAGGTACTTATCACAAAAAATTATAATAAAGTTTACTTGTTAGTATTATGGTTATAAATTAATTTTTCTTTAAAAACTGGTTTAACATTTTAAATAAAGAACAGTGATGAAGGAAATGACAAAAGAAATGCTATTTTGTAAGACAGGAATAAATACACAATACAGTCCTAGCCAGTTAAACCAAGGTTAAATTAAATTGTTCGCCCATTTGACCGGATAATTACACTCACCATTTTGTCCCGATCCCTTAATACGGTCGGATCTGGATGTAAAGTTCTCTACTTTCACTGAAGTCAGGGAGGGGCAGCTTATTTAACAATCGATCAGACCCTTGATTGGCCTTGTGACATTTCATTTCTACACTCGATACAGATCAAATCTACTTGGTCGAGTAAACTATCTGATCGCTGTGTAGCAGTTATAAATTATTATAGTTGTGAGTAAGTATTATTTTTTAAATCCATATCAATCAAAGCCAAACCTACGCTTTTCAAGAGAAAAGTAAACACTTGAACTGGAAATGATGTCTCCTCTTGGATATTTTTCTTTTTACTGAACCGACCTATCTGGGAAATTGAAAATGCTCACCTATATTTTTCCTCTTTATTTTAGAAGTATGATTGAAACTATGTGGTACTAAGATAAAAAATTTAAGTTTTAAAAGGAAAAAAATTTCAGCAATGTCTAAGACAGGCATTTGTTTTTGTATCTAATTTCCGTTCCCTGGTGCATTAGGCTATTTGTTGTATGTGTTATTCTTTACGGGTCTTTGGAGAGGTCTTTCATATTAGAGTTTAAAGACAGCATTCCAAGCATGTTGTAAATACATATATTTATTTTATCTTTTATAATTTTTTCTTAAGAGAATCCCTTATTTCCATTTCAAGTACCTTATGGTGTTCATATAATTATCATCTGATTGGGCTATATTAATATATAAATGGAAATGGTAAATATACTTTAGTATCAATAAAATAAAATAAATAAGTTAAAAATATGTAAATAAATGCAGGGGAGAACAAACGGCTGACGTTGTGAGAGAAAGGGAAAGAAACTGGCAAATGATGAGGGTTTAAATTATTTTTATAGTATTATTCTCATTAACGACTTCTTTATTTCTCTTACCGTGTTACTTTTTAAGTTTTGTTTATTTTTTGATTTATTTAAAGTTGATGGAATGTAAATAAAATTTATCATAATAGAGTAATTTATAAGTTACACTAAAATAAATGTTTATTCAGAGACCTAAAATTAAATTAATTACTATTTATTGATGAACTGCTTACCTCTCTTAAGCTGCCTATAATTTTAGTGTCTATAATATAATCGAAATATCGTACAAAATGTTTTGTATATGAATAAAGCCACAAAGATAGCAAATATTTTAAAATGACTATACCACATAAAAGAGAAACTTAGCATAACAACCGATATTGCAATGTATTTTATTAATATGTTGGATTGAAATGACCCAGACTACAGTATTGATCCGGTTCATTAATAGATTTCACAATTTATTTTAAACTAGCGGAATGCATTCAACACTCAGCGAATGTAAATATCTAAACCTTTTATGTCACAAAATGTACTTAAGAGATTTTACGAGTATAAAGCATATTCGATTGATGGATATAATAAAGAACGTAATTTGAATTACGTTCCTTATTACATAGAGCGTATATTAATTGCCCACCTCATGACATACATAGAGCAGAATGATTTCCTCAGTGACCGTCAGTACGGGTTTCATCGAAATTGATGAACCGGGGACCTTCTAGCGTATGCCACTCACATATGATGCGAAGTAATTGCAAATAGTGGGGAAGCACTTGCTGTTTCCATTGATGTCCCGATGGCCTTTGACAGCATTTGGCACGCTAGACTTTTAGGCAAATTACCAGCGTACGGCTTATCCTCTAGCCTGGTTTACTGGTTTACGAGCTCTCGGAGTCACTATCCATGGCTGATCATCTAGTTCTATCGCAACAAACGCCTGAGTACCAAAGGGGTCCGTTCTCTCCGTAACTCTCTTCCTGCTGCATATTAATGATCTGTTTATTCCCGATATCTATGGGTATGCAGACCGATCAAATCAAATCCAGTCCGAAAGAGAATATGTATATATGTGTGAATGTGAAAAGTTATTGAGAATACGTGTATGTAGAAAGATAATTATAATTTTGATGTATAGGATTATTGCGTAAAAAAGCTTTTGGAATAGAATGGAATTTTTTTTTTTCAATAATAGTACTACGACCACTGGTTCGAAGAAAACCTCTATCCTGGGAATAACCCTCAAGAAACCCAGCGGGACATTTTTTAAATAAAATTAATTTAAAATCTATTACTTTACACTACTATGAAATACAGAGATCAGAGATAATCAACTTAAATTGTAAGTTAATTTTAATTGAAACTTAGCGCTATTAAGGTGAAGAATTTAAGTTTTAAAAATAAAATTTTTCAGTATTATCTAAGCCAGGCATTTGTTTTTGTAAGTATCTCTAATTTTCTTTATGGGTCTTTGGAGAAGTCTTTCATATTAGAGCTTAAAGACGGTATTCCAAGCATGTTGAATATACATCTATTTATTTTATCTTTTATAATTTTTTCTTAGTAGAATCCCTTATTTCCATTTCAAGTATCTTGTGGTGTTCATATAATTATCATCTGGTTGGGCTATATTAATATATAAATGAAAATGATAAACATACTTTCATGTCAATAAAATAAAATAAATAAGTAACAAATATATACATACGCAAATAAATGCAGGGGAGAACTAACGGCTAACGTTTAGGGAGAAAGGAAAAGAAACCGGCAGATGACGCGGTTTTCAATTATTTTTATAGTATTATTCTCGCGAAGGCTTCTTTATGTCCCTTCCCGTGTAATTTTTTATTTTTTTATATAATTTGATCTCTTTAAAGTTGTTAGTTGAATGTTAATTAAATGAGAATGACCAAAAGTGGTACCAAAAAGTCTCGCGCATCAAGACTAAATTTTAATAGTAATTAGTGTCTTAATTTTTATGGCATTACGCGTCCGGGGATTTTATTTTTGAACAGGGAATTTTATTTGAGTTTAAAAGTATGCATATTGATATTGTATTATTTTTTATGTTTATTTAACTGGTTTTACGGCTCCGGAGTCTAGCCCTTCTGAGCATATCATATCTTTCGGAGTCATCATTTTTATATATTTTTTCTTCACATATGCTGATGCGTCACATTGTGAAGTTCTTAGGAGATTTTAACGACAGCTCAACCGCTTTATGCTCCATTTAAAACAATGTGAATACGGTTTTAAAAAATATATAAAATTGAAGATTCCGAAAGGCTACCCAGAACCGTAAAACCAGTTAAATAAAAAATCTTATAAATGAAGTTTAAAGTTTTAAAGTGCATCTGACCTTTGTGCTGACCACGCCATATCTTTGTTCTAACAAATATAACTGTCTGTGTTTGAGAGTTGAGATTAGTTAGTTATTGAATTGTGTGTTGAGAAGTAGAACTTGTTAGTATTTTGTGAACTTTTTTTCTGTATATTGTGCAAATATGTCGAGTTGTGGAGTCGACCGATTAACACCGTCAGTCACCCAGCATAACAAACGATGTATCAATTGTTCATTTTTGATACCCAGAAACCTACCTATACATTCATTGGAACAAGCATCTACTTCAATGATTAATTTGTTACAGTCGTGGATAACTCCTACTCAGGTAAGCAGATCTTATTTTACTCTTTGAATATATACCTAAGAATGTCAGATCTCTACCATCGTACCGTCTTACAAAACATTTTTATAGAATGAAAGAAATATTTATTTTAGACAGCACAGGCAATATCAAATGATTAACAAAAAACGAACCTGTTTGAGGCCAAAAAGGCTCTTGATTGCATATTAAATGTTACTTCTGTGAAGATGTTACAGAAGACAAATAATGTCAAAAAGGTTAAAAACACACTTTTTAATTCATGGTTTTTATTGCAGTTGTCTTCAGAATGTGTGCTTTGTACAGAATGTTTGACACTGCTTCAAGATCAAGCAAACACAATTAGTGAAGGATTGCCTGCTTTTGGTCATAGAAGTATATGTTTTACGTGTGGAAATTCTATTCTACGTGCAACTAGAACATATCCTGCAAGACAAGATCGACAAGAGAGAAACATTTTAGTTAGACACGTTCGGCTGCATCAGGTAAATATTTTTATTTATGTTGCAATATAAAAAAAAGATCAACTTCTTATTAATGTTCTTATTTTCTCCAGTCTTCTAGTTTTTAGTTATAATACTGTAATTAGATGTGTTTATAATATTGAGTCCCAATAATTGAAGGTTTCACAAATAAATAATGTTGTGGGTATTAGATAATATTATCTATTTTAACACAATTATTGCCTGATCATTATCATACGTGGAGAGCCATCCTGCAACTAAATTAGTAGTATATTAACTATATTAGTAGTATATTTGTAGCATGAATGGGTCGGCTCGACTGGGTAAGGACCATGCTCTCACAGAATACCATCGTGAAATAGCAGCTTATGCTGTGCTTCGTATAGTGGGTGTGAAGAACCAGAGATCCTTTTTACTGGGAACAAGGCATTCCATCATAGTTCTCAGGGGTGACAATTCATCTGCATTTTGATTTGTAATAGAGAATAGATGTAGATGTCTATGGGCCACAGCAAATACCAATTACCATCAGGTGGACTTTATGCTCGTTTGTCACCCTATCTTATAAAAAATGTATCCCTAACAATTACATCACATTACAATACACACTTTTATGAAGTTTATATTCCATTATGAAATGTTACATATTACATGTTTAATTGTGTTATTTTTAGATCTCTAGATTGGAAAGAGTATGTGCTGCTTGCTGGAGATCAGCTACAAGGGAATTGCAACGTCGTGATCAGCAAGACTCCAATCGCCCTGGTCTGTCAGAAGCTATTTTGCCTGATGTTGGATCAAGTAGCGATCTCAATATTCCTGAGCTGCCCCCTCCTCCACAACAAAACCTACACACTGCTCATGTTAGATCAAATCCAACAATTAGGTCTTCAGTGTATAAGCGTGCGGCTAGGACATCCAATCACTGTATATTTGTTAATTGTTTTGAAACAGAACATTTACTAGTACCCTCATCTATAAAAGATCTGTTATTACTTAATAATAAATTCTATGTGCCACCAGCAGCACGAATCTGTCGTCACAACTTGGATCATGGCCGTTGGAGCGAATTAACTTCTCAGCTAAAAGATTTTACTGGTAGTCAATTCGACTCAATTATGAGAATAATGCAGCGAGCTGCCTATTACCATATAGATTTCTCAAATATTTTAATTATGCCTACATATTTGTGTCACTTTTGGTTAGGCATGAACTCCGATCAGTTTTATAATTTGTTAAACGGTATCCCAAGTATAGCAGGACAAGTACCAAATGCCACGGTTGCTTTAAGCATTTACTTAGTAAAGCTTAGAACTGGTGATAGTAATGAAAGGTTGGCAACTCTCTTTAATAAATCTCATGTCACCTTAGAACGCTTAATGAATAAGGCCAGAACATGTTTAATTAATGAGTTTGTTCCATTGTATTTAGGATTTAATCATATGAATGTTGAAGATGTTGCTTCTAGAAATAGAATAATACCAGAAGGATTATTTGGTAATTCTGATTTGCCACCTAATTCTAAACCAGCAATAGTCATGTGTGATGCTACTTATGTATTTATCCAAAGTAGTTCTAATTACTTATTTCAAAAACAAACATACAGTTTGCAAAAACTGGATAATTTGGTCAAACCATTTATGATAGTGTATTGTGATGGTCATATTGTGGATTGTCTCGGACCATACAAGGTGACAACTAATGATGCTACAAATACTAGTTTAAACTTACGTAATGAGGAAGCTTCTTTAAGATCATTTTTCCGAAGAGGTGACGTTTTCATACTTGATAGAGGACTTAGGGATGTAATTAATGAACTCCAGGGATATGGCTTTGTAACACATATGCCAGAGTCTCTACTTGAGAATGAACATCAATTAACAACCCAGCAGGCAAATCAGTCTTGTTTTGTTACTATGTGCCGCTGGGTTGTGGAAGTGGTTAATGGTAGGTTGAAAAGGGATTTTGGGCTCTTTCGTCATGTTTTTAACAATAGAGCGGTTTTGCACCTAAAGGATAATTTTAGAATCCTCATGTGCCCTAATTAATAAGTTTCATGTTGTTATAGAAGACCCACCAGAAGCCATGGAATATGTAAGAATTGCTATTCTTATTATCCACATTTAGTTGGATTTCCACAATTGACAATAACTGATTTAAAACGGTTAGCTCTTGGGACTTACCAACTCAAACAGGCTAGATCTTATTATGGGGAACACATCCGTCGGACTGGTATTTATTCAGTTGAGGTGAATAATACTATCGATGATGATGTACCTTTGATTTTGGGGCTTATTAATTACCTCTTAAGAGCTAGGATTAAATCTAGCCATGTCAACAGTCGTACTTATCACACATATTTATTGATTAGCAGAGATGATGCTGTGGCCAACACTTTAGAAACCATAGTAGGTTATTGCTGCAGCTGCCTTGTCGGTAACCGAACAGAAGGCTGCTGTGCTCATATAATGACGATAGTGTGGTATTTGAGCTGGGGACGGTATAACGACGTAACTGCACCGGGAACGGCTTTAGATGATTTTTTTCAGGAATATGATGAATGATTAAAATAAATATATTTTAAATAAATATTTTTGACTTAAAATCGCTATTAAAAAACCCAAATGGACTTGTTTGTTTTATTTTTTCTATCACTTACCTAATCGATTCACAACAACATGAGCTTGAGCAATAGTGTCTGTCATGAATAGTATCATATCTTAGATTAAAGGGTTAAAGACGCTCTAGACTCAACGAGCTTTTTTCGGTATGGATGGTCACACTTTGTGGTAGTGTAATCGCGGTGGCGTCCAATTATATACATATTACCTTTAGATACGTTACCCACTACGGGCACATTGTCGGGCAAATATCCGAGTTTCAGTCACAATTAACACAAAGTAATCCATTAATAAATGTAATTCTTACAAATATTAATGGATTACTAATATTATTGGTTTTTAGAGCAATAATGTTTGTCCATGTTTAAAGTGTCAATTTAAAATAGGTCGTTGGTAGCATCGAAAAAGTGACGTAATGGTTTTTAGGTTATTTTCGATTTTGTAAAATAACTCCAAAACCCGGGTTTTTTTTCAAAAAGGACTTTTGTAGGAGTTAATAGGATTAGTGTAGTCTATAAAAAACAAAGTTTGATTTTGATGCAACTTGGTACGAGATTCCATACATCTATGGTCATTCTCCTTTATCATAATGCAGTAATTTATAAGTTATACTGAAATAAATATTTATTCACAAAATTAAATTAATTACTATTTTAAATGAAATGTTTACCCCTCTAAAGCTGCCTATAATTTTAGTGCCTATAAAATATAATCGCTATGTCATAAAATATTAAAAATATGAATAAAGCCACAGAGATAGCATATACATATTTAAAAAAATATTATACCACAAAAAAGGGAAAGTGAGCATAACAACCGATTCTACAATATATTTTGTTAATATGTTGGATTGAAATGACCCAGACTACAGTATTGATCCGGTTTATTAATAGATTTAGCAATTTATTTTAAACTAGCGGTATGCATTCAACACAGCGAATGTAAATATGTAAGCCTTTTAGGTCACAAAATGTACTTAGGGGATTTTACGAGTATAATTAAGATATAGTAAAGAACGTAATTTGAATTACGTTCAACAATCGAAACGATTTGGTTGGTATGCCTTGTATTTAAACTAAATTCAGAAATATCTACTGCCAGTATCGATTACATGATGTTGTGGTAAGCTACCAAAACCGCGGGAATAGGGTTCGTATGCCAGCCAGAGTGAACATTTATTCAAAATAGAAATGGTTGGTTTTTGAGCCGGTTTAATTTGTTACTTCCTCGATTCTTTGACATCGCGTCTTATTCTACCTATGATATTATCGCATAAGTGTCACATTCACATAGGGCATGGACAGATAAGAACGCATGCTTGTATTAGCATATACACATAGGTGGCGCAAGGCGTGGGCGACCGCCTACGGCCTCGCGGCCCAAAGGGCCTCGCACCCCGAAAGATCAAAGAATTTTCATTACGGAAGAATATTAAGCTAGAACTATGAAAATGCAAGACATCTATAGTCATATCTCTTGTCTGTGCGTGCACTCTGCTTCTAACGCGCATCCAGCAATACGTCCTAAATTTGTACTTTACTTTAAAATTCGTGCCATGGTAGCTTAGTCAGTCTACGGGGATATAACGTCACCCTGTCTTACACTTCTCTGCAGTTGTAGGTTTCGTACGCTGGTTCTGTACTTGGATAGCCATCGTAGCCCTACTGTACCAATACTTCAGCACCTCTATATGCTGACTGTCAACTTGGCACCGCTGAAGGGACTGTAGCACCGACCAAATTTCGACGGAATCAATGGCTTTTTCATAGTCCACATACTCAAAGCAAAGTGGCAGATTGTACCTACTCCTTCTTACGTATGTGGTCTATTGTACTGAAGCCTGTTCGGGAACCGGCTTGTATGGGAGGCCGGAAATCGTCAAATATGCGTGCGGTACGATTTGTAATTACTCTCGAAAACAGCACGTAGACGCGACTCAGAAGGGAAATCGGTCTATAGTTCTTCAAAAGAGCGTTGTCGCCTTTCTTGGAAAAAAAGCAAGACCATCGCACTTCTACTCCACGCATCTGAAGTAGTGCCACCATGGAGGATGGAATTGAAGAGCTTCTGAAGGAGCCGGTTTTTCACCCACTTTCAGAAGTTCCGCTGTAATTCTATCCACGCCTGGGACCTTGCCGTTCTTAAGGTGCTGGAAAGCCATTCTAATCTCGCTCAGACTGACGTGCGGGATATCATCGGATAACGCCCGCATTTATGCGGGAATCAGAAATCAGCTTTAGGTCTTTAGAACTAAAGCTGATTTCTCTTCTAAACTGCATCATCAGTCATAAAGAAATGATGACTTATTGACGTCTAGTCTTTGAAATACGTTGATTTAAAACATAGCACTATGCTCAGTTTAACCTGCATAGTGTCTACCAACAGTAAGGATTTCAACGTTTGAATCACAAAGTCTTAGAACGCACTGCGATTAAACGCACGCGTTTAACCGCACATATAAAACCGCGAAAAAAAAATGTAACACATAGCTTTCTATATAAGCGCACGCATTGGCGACTTTTTCAGTGACTGATTTTAAAACGTAACTTGCTACATTTCGATCGCGGTTTGTAAACGCGCGATTTTTTGTGTCCCATAGTAACAGTGTGGCGGCGCAGGCACTGCGGTTAACCGCGTTCAGGTTTTATTCGACTCTTCTGTTGATATTGTCATACGAAATGCAGTGTCTTCATGTTGTAGATACTGGCCCACAGCTTGTAATAATTTATCAAAAGTACCAATCGACATTTTGTGGTAATTAAAAAACTTATCGGGATGTTGTCGCACGTCGTTGTACATTTTGCAAAAGTATCCTTTCAGATGTCTTTGATCTGTTAGTGGATGTGCCCAGTATTTATGGCGGCGCCGTTGTTTACTTTTTCTATTTTTTTAATTTAAAAACCAAAGCGACTATACATGTTACTTGCTAGAAATCCATGGTGGTACTGAAATAAAATTAAGCAAGGGGGGGGGTTTGTTTTTGTTTTTTTTTTTTGTTGTTTCTTGTGGGGGTGTGTGGTGTTTTGTTGTATTGTGATTTTTGTTATTTGGAGGATGGGGGGTTTGGGTTTTATTATATATTTTTTTTTTCTTCCTCCTTCAACTAAGGGGAAGGTATGTATTTTTTTTTTTATGGCGGTGAAGATGGACGAAGAAAAGGAGTATTTTTTTTTATTATATATTGTTTTTAGCGCAGTGTGTTTTCATTTTCTTTTTTATTTACCTTAACAAAATAATTAATTTTTTTTTTTTTTTTTTTTTTTTTTTTTTTTTCCCTTTTTTTTTGTCTTTCGGCGGGGTTGGTTTTTTGGTGGGGGGAACAAATGGCGTTGGGGGGCGTTGCAGGGGATGAGCTAGCTACTTCTGTTTGATAAAAACCTCTTTTTATTAACTGGAAAGGCAGCTTGACTAATGATGTACCATATATTTCGCTCCTTTGAAGAGCCTTCTTGTTGTCAACGTGAGTATATATTTCACAAACACGCGAAACGTTAATACCACGTGGGACGCTCGCTTCAAGATGTAGCCAATCTTGTCTGTGACTCTTCTGACATACGGTAGTAGAGCAGCCGCGCGCTCGACTGTGGCCGGTGTCATTCGTTCACTGTGATGTAGGCGCTGGACCCGAAGCTTGTTGTCTTGCAATACTTGCTTGACGTGCTGAAGCTCGGCGACCAGATGTTTTCTGTCACAGATCCTTCGTGCTATCTGAAACACACACACACACACACACACCACAGGTCTTCGACAAAAAAAGGTACAAAGCAAGAGGGCCTCATACAATCATTGATTTCCTGCATGCCTTACTCCATCTAATGGGCCTCCGACTTACACTCAGTTTAGCGGTAGGAGGCTGCCGCTCAAATATCTTTCTTTTACCTCGGTTATCGTTTCATATTTGTAATGTATAAGTGTTAATGTGGGGATAGGGCAACGGAACCCAAGGGGCTAGCAGCTGGCCGACTTCATGGAGAAAGAAGGACTTTTTATGATGAACTCTTTCTTCATGAAGCGGCACCACAGAAAGTGGACCTGGTAGAGCCCCGACGGTTCGACAAAAAATGAGATTGACTTCATTATGACGACCAGACGCCAACTATTCAGTGATGTCTCAGTGATCGCAAGGGTGAAAACTGGCAGCGATCACCGAATGGTTAGAGGCACACTGAACCTAAACCTTAAGTTGGTGGAGAGGTCTCGCCTAATGAAGTCAACGCTCCGTCCCCCTCGTGCTCTAATCCAGAATCCCGAAACCTTTCAGCGTGCGGACGTGGAAACTGTCCATGTGATCGGAGCTAAGTTCTGAAAGGTGACAACGCCCTCTTGAAGAACTACAGACCGATATCCCTTCTAAGCCGCGTCTACGTGCTGTTTTCGAAAGTCATTACGAATCGTCTCGCACACAGACTCGACGACTTCCAGCCTCCCGAACAAGCCGGTTTCCGAAAAGGCTTCAGTACCATAGACCACATACATACCCTGCGGCAGATTGTACAGAAGTCCAAA